AACTCATCACAACTAATTATTGCTTGTCTATGAGTTTATAGTTAGATGCATGGTAAACAAAAGCATGAGTAGTTAATTTGGAAACTTTCCTATGAAACGAAGTAATACCCCGCCTTTCTCTCCATATTCACAACCCTTTATATTTCTTGTTTACTTTATTCTGTTTGCACTTTCTCTACTCCAATCATAATACTCTCAATCAATCAACTTTCCTCAATCAATCAATCCCTCCATAAACGACATCATTCACCATCGTTGTTTCTTGTTTGTAGTCAAAGTACCCAATTCTTGGAAAGAATGGATTCGATAGCGGAAACTTGCCTCTACGCTAATTCTAGGATTGGTTTAGTTGTCAAACTAGGGAATATAAATAATATTTGACATATTTTTAGTAGCACTGCTAGTAGATTTAACTTGTTCTTGCAGGTTCGGTTTGCTAGCACTGCTGCTAAAGGTTTGACGGGAAGGCACTGCTGAAGGAATTCCCGGAAAACCATTATATCTAGCCCTGATCTCAAACATGCTTATGATTCTTTTCAGCTCGACATATGATATGAAGTAAGACAACAAGATTTATAGTTACAAGAACATTATCAGAGATAACTATTTTATCAAGACCATGTTTTACAATACATGAGCCTTTAAGATGTAGACATATATCAAAACAACTTCTCCTTGACTTCTAGATGAGAAGATTCATTCCGTCAAGAGAAAAGAGTTTGTTCATACTATGACCCTCACTCATAAACATCATTGTGTGGATCTTTTTCCTCAAGTGTTTAAACCTTGAATGAGCAACTCGGCTTTGATACCAATTGATATTTCTACACAATGGTGCCCAAGCTCAAGAGGGGGGGGGTGAATAGTCTATTTCAAAACTACTTAACAAAGATCACCCCCAACTAATAAAATAGATACAAACTAAGCTATTCTATCACAAGAAGTAAAACAACATTCAACACATATGTAGATGAAAGCAAAGGTGTTAGTCCAAAATCTCTACTTTAATCAAGAAGACAATCTCCTAGTCCTTGGATACTTGTTCAACTAGATCTAGAAGATAAAAACCTTTTTAATCAATGAAACAAGTAATCTAATCCTAGTTTTAGGTTTGTTGTGGAGTATGAGGGGACGAGTAGCGAAAGATGCACTCTCACCTTTTCCTCTACCACAATACAAACAAACTAAGAGATTTTTTTTTTTTT